GAAAGTAGTACCTCAAGCTCAAGCTCAGAAGACGAAAGCAGTGATGAGGAGAAAGGACTACTATGCCTCTACAGCCAAGAATCAGAGGAACTATGCCTCATGGCAGATGAAGAAGAGGTAAACTCTCACTCTTCTTCTTGCTATTCAGCCGAATCAAGTTTCTTTAGTGAGTCAAACCTCCAGTGAATCTGTCACTGAAATGATGAGGAGGTTTAAGTTGATAAATAGCACTTACTCCAAGCTAAAAGAGGAGAACTCTCGGCTCATGACTAGCCATAATGAATTAGAGCAAGTTCGCATTGAGAACAAAATGCTGGTCATTGCTAAGGAGCAGCTCGAGAAAATGTTCTCGCTCTTAAGGAGCAGTGCACAGCAAAAGAAAGAGAGAGCAAGAATTGCTTGAAGTGTTGGACAAGTTTAACAATTCATCCAACTTAATGGACAGAATGTTAAACGAATCCAGACTGCCCGGAGAGAAAACCGGAATTGGTTTTAACTCCCAGCTCCTCCTCACAAGTCGAAACGAACAAATCCACGAATGCATACTCACACGAGAGTCTTGCAACCATATTTGTTCAAGGACCAACCCAGCTGCCCGAGCCTATGATGGTACATAACAATGTCACAGCACCACAATCAACAACCAACCGAAAGGAAAGGCTGTACAACGAATTGTGGAAACAGGAAAGAGAAAACCTAGTAAAGGCAATCCTAGACAAATATGTGTCAAAAGGAATGGACCAAATGGCAGTGGAAAAAGTCCACACCAAAAATTGAGTCAGCCTAACTGGAATTCTCGATCCTATAAAAAGACAAATGTTAACCAGAGGCAATATCGTCCAAAGAGTTCTGCTAAGGAAATCTCAAAAGAACGAACAACCTGAAAGGATCCTCAGAAGATCTGGGTATGGAATGGAAGGACTGGGCCTTCAGAAGAAGATTGGTTTGATTACCCGGAACTCCTCTCGAGGAAAGCTCTTAAGATAACACATCGACGTAAACAAACCAATTATCGTTGGCATTATGAAAATCTTCCACCAAAAGAGCAACAAAGGAAGTATAAGGACAAAAATCTTTGCCAGTGTTTATTTCGATTATCGCACCTCCAACGGATACAGAGGACCAAAGATGAGTCATGTGCACTCTAGGTTAATATGGGTTCCAAAATTGACTACTAACCCCCAAGGACCCGAAACTAAGTGGGTACCTAAAAATACATAATCTTTGATGGCAGGAGAAACAGGTCATATGGTATGTAGACAGTGGATGCTCAAGACATATGACTGGTGACAAAACAATTTTGAGCAATTTCAAAGAAATAAATGGACCCAAAGTCATCTTTGGAGGAGAAACAAGTGGCCAAACTCGAGGAAAAGGAGATATCATCAAGAAAGGAATAATCATACAAGATGTCTCTTATATAGAAGGACTTAAATTCAACCTTCTAAGCACAAGTCAGTTCTGCGACAAAGGATACAAAGTAGAATTCTTTAAAGAAGAGTGCAAAATCATAAACACGAAGGATGGCAGGGACAGCACTTACAGGCCAACGAAAGAAGAACATGTATGTAATTTCATTAAATTCTTCTAATACTAACATTTGTCTTGTAGCCAAGAGCAATGCAGATCTCAATCAAGAATGGCACAACAAGCTAAGCCACTTGAACATGAAGACAATAAATAAGCTTGCAAAAAGGAATCTTGTAAGAGGCTTACCCGAAACATCTTACACGAAAGATAGGTTATGTGATGCCTGCCAAAAGGGAAAACAGCTGAAGTCGTCCTTCAAGTCAAAAGATGTAGACACAAATTCTCGATCTCTAAGCCTTCTGCACATGGATCTTTTTGGACCAATAGATCCAGCAAGTATAAGCGGAAGAAAGTACACCCTTGTGGTAGTAGATGACTTTTCAAGATATACATGGGTTCTTTTCTTGAAAAAGAAGAATGAAACAGAAACGGCTCTGCCAAATCTTTTGAAGCAACTTCAAACAGAGAAGGAAGTCAAAATAACAAGAATCAGATCGGATCAAGGAACCGAATTTGTCAACAAAGTGATAAAGGATTTCTGTGCTCAAAATGGAATATTTCATCAACTCTCAGCAGCACGAACTCCTCAGCAAAACGGAGTAGCCGAAAGGAGAAATAGAACTCTAAAAGAAGCAGCACGAACAATGATCTCACACTCAGGTCTACCAAAGAGATTTTGGGCTGAAGCCATAAACACCGCATGCTATACGCAGAACAGATCCTTAATCAACAAGTCTCACAACAAAACACCATATGAGCTATGGAAAGGTAAGACTCCAAATATTGGATATTTTCATGTTTTTGGTTGCAGGTGTTTTATTCACAACAATGGCAAAAGCTATCTTAAAGCATTTGACGAAAGAGCTGACGAAGGATTATTCATGGGATATTCATCCATAAGCAAAGCATTCAGAGTTCTGAACAAGCGAACAATGGTTATCGAAGAATCCATCCACGTCAAATTTGATGAACAATCTGAGAAAAATCCTTCTGGATACAAGATACCTGCTATCCCAGCTCAAAATGCTCAGAAATCCGTAGATGAAGACATCTCAGACGAAGAAGACTTACTTTCGTCTTACATGAAGTATCAGCCGAAAGTACCAGAACCCGAGATGTCATCTCAACAAGCAAATGGAAATCAACCTATCAATCCTTCTAGCAACGCACCATCTGAACCAATGATCTACATAGACCTGCCTTATATCCCAGAGATGGATACTCAGCCTTTTCAAGATGTCTTTGAGCCTGATCTTAGATGGTTGAAAGATCATCCACCAGATCAAGTTATTGGAGATGTTCAAGAAGGTGTGAGAACAAGAGCGTCATTACACGAAAGTATGATGGCATGCTTCTTATCCCAAATAGAGCCAAAATCTGTAGATGAAGCTTTATGTGATCCTGACTGGGTAATAGCTATGCAAGAAGAACTTCATCAATTTGAACGAAATGAAGTATGGGAACTAGTACCTAGACCATCACATCAAAACGTCATTGGAACTAAATGGGTTTTTAGAAACAAAATGAGTGAAGATGGACTCATTGTTAGGAACAAAGCTCGCCTTGTGGCTAAAGGATATTGTCAGGAGGAAGGTATTGATTTTGATGAGACCTTCGCCCCCGTGGCCAGATTGGAAGCTATACGAATATTCTTAGCTTTTGCAGCTTACAAAAGTTTCAAAGTCTATCAAATGGATGTCAAAAGCGCCTTCCTGAATGGACTTCTTGAAGAAGAAGTATATGTTGAACAACCTCCTGGTTTTGCTATCAACAATGACCTCGAAAAGGTGTACCACCTTAAGAAAGCTCTATACGGTTTGAAACAAGCTCCACGAGCTTGGTATGATACACTGTCATGTTTCCTAATCAATCGTGGCTTCACGAAAGGAGTGGTTGACAAAACACTCTTTCGTATAAAGGATAATGATCATATCCTACTGGTACAAATATATGTTGACGACATTATCTTCGGAAGCACGAATCCAGATCTATGTGAAAAATTCTCCAATCTCATGAAAGGAAAATTTGAAATGAGTATGATGGGAGAACTGAATTATTTTCTGGGCTTACAAGTTAAACAATGTCCTGATGGGATATTTATAAACCAAGCCAAATACACAAAAGATCTGATCCGAAAGTTTGGCATTGATGGAAAAAGTTCCGTCAAAATACCTATGAGTACATCCCTTAGGATGGACATTGACAATGAAGGAAAGGAAGTTGATCAGAAAAATTTTCGTGGTATTATTGGCTCTCTTCTATACCTAACAGCAAGTAGACCCGACATCTCGTTTGCTGTTGGTGTATGCGCTCGCTTTCAGGCTAAACCGAAAGAAAGTCACCTAAGTGCAACTAAAAGGATATTGCGATATCTTAAGGGCACACAAAATGTCGGCCTCTGGTATCCGAAAGAAGGATCATTTGATCTAATAGGATACTCAGATGCAGACTTCGCAGGTTGTCGAATTGATCGAAAAAGTACCTCAGGAACATGTCAGTTCCTAGGAGGAAGAATTGTGTCTTGGTTTAGCAAGAAACAACATTCCATTGCTACTAGTACGGCTGAGGCCGAATACATAGCAGCTGGAAGTTGTTGTGCTCAAATCTTATGGATGAGACATCAATTAAGAGACTATGGGATAAATGCCCAAGAAGTGAGCATTAAGTGTGATAATACAAGTGCTATAGCAATCACACACAATCCAGTTCTACACTCTCGGACCAAGCACATTGATATCAAGTATCATTTTATTCGTGATCATGTTGAGAAGAAAGATATTGCTCTCGAATATGTCAATACCGATGATCAACTGGCAGATATACTCACTAAACCTCTGAGTGAGACAAGATTCTCTCTATTAAGGCATGAGATCAGAATGATTGAAATGACCTAAAAATCAGATAATCAAATCTGTAAAGATTCGTATTCTTGATTCTCGCAAGATTTGATCCATCCTTACACGCAAGTATCCTTATAAATAAGGTATACTAATTGTTTGTGCATACATCACTAACAAAAGTTCTAGTGTTTGTTCTTGCAGGTATGAGTACAGGTAGTGAAAGAACCAACACGGAGAATCAAGGCAATTTTATTGGATATGCCAAAGAAAACAGTGTGCTGGACAAAAGCGACAGTTTTGACTATTCACCGTCCAGCACCCCTCCTAAGATGCCCTCACCACTCAAATTCACCGCCAGCAGCAAGAAAAGGAAGATCTAAATAACTTTGTCCTTTTCTTAATATGTGATGTTATTTCACCATGCTTCATAATAAATCACCATATCCTTTCGTGTATCTTTGTTTTCGTGTCTCTCACGCAAGAAAGTGTCAGTATCCAAAAGATTTTGTATAGATCTCCACGACACTTATTTGCCTATAAAATAGTTTCGCCATACATAAGACACACTCACTTCTTTCTAAGTAAAAGGATTGCAGGTATGAACAAAGAGAAAGGAAAAATGGACGAAGCAGAAAAAAGGGCTACCCGTCTGAAGCATCACTTACAGGAAGCAAGCAAGCTCCCTAATGCCACCATCATAAGCTTGAAAGAAGAAGGAGAGATGATCAATGTAACCTACTCAATGCCTAACCCCGCCTATAAAAAGGAAAAAGAGGCTCTTGACACTCTTGTCGACGAATCTAGGGCCAAAAAGAGGTATCATTTGGAACAAGCCAGACAAGAGGCCTATGAGAGAATCATGATGATGAAGAGCTCCAACAAAGACTCTTCATCGACACCAACCTCTCGATGGTATCCCTTTCCTGAAGTTCCTCCACCCAATGTTCAATCCTATGAGGATTTCTCAAGGGTCCACTCTCGGGTCACAGATCAGCCACCCGAACCCACTCTCTCTCTAGAAGAGTTGGATGAATACGCCAAAACAACAAATCTGGCTGATGTGACTGATGAGATGACCCGATTGGAACTTCACGTGCCCTATCGTTTCCTTTGAACCGTAGTAGGTTGAGCTTTTTATGTTTAAGTCTCTCTCTCTCTTTCTATCCTGTATGTCATGATGGCTGTGTTATCCAAATAAATGCATTGCATAAGTTCTTATGATTTCGGATCACAGGAAGGATTACTGTTGTGTGCATTTATTACAAGTTATATCTGGTCAAAAAGAGTTCAAAAATTCATTATGAATTTATGGAATGCTAAGCACGTTGGAACTCAGGCCGTACAGAGAATCAAAATTTTAGTCTCAACTGAAATCAGCTTTCTCTTGACCACTGTAATGAGCATTGATTGCAATATTGACAAACTTACTGATAAGCCCCTCAATCCTTGGCTATAAAAAGGGAGAGAATTTCTCACAATTCTCACCATCCTCTCTCTCTCTCAATGGCACCTAAGAAAAGGTTCACAAGAAATGACTCTCGCAAGCTCCAAGAGGCCTCTAGGCGCCTCAGGGAGGAGCAAGGTGACTTATATCCAGGCAATAGTCCTAATGTTCCTATCAATCTCGTCTCTGATTCAGACTCATCGTTTCATTACGATGATATGGCTGGATTCATCGTTGAATCAGAGAATGAAGAAAAGATCTCAAAAAATCCAAGTGAGACAATCCCAAAAGAATGGATTGACAAGGACTACATGGCCTTTCTGGCACAAGAAAATTGGGAAGAGAAGTATGACAAAGATGATGAAGCTGAGTCCTCTACTGGTTCCAACTTTCCGCGCTATAAAAGATGGTATAGGGAAGTGTTTGGAAGGGTGAAGAAAGATAAGCCTGAATGCTCTTCATCCAAGAAGGTTGAGAGGAAGAAAAAGTGATTTTCTGAAAATCATCATCTATGTTTCTGTATCTTCTCTTCTCGATTGCTGAATAAAAGCTTGCCTATCTATGTGCTAATAAGATGTCATGTTTTATCTGTGTAACCTTGCTGACAGTCTTAGAAGTTTGTTCTGATCAAAACTTACTCGCATCTTTCGGGTAACAATGTTGATTGTTTATCATGAATCTCTCGGGCAACATTATGTGCGTCTTATGAAATTCTGAACAACATTCGGGTTTTTGAATCGTACTTAAGACGCTATTTCTTCTTGAATCTAAACCGTTCATAAAGTATCATTGGGATCATATGGCCGAGAAAATCGCCTCTATCCCACTAGTCTGACAGGACAAAGACGTGCATTTAATGCACCTCTCAGCACTTGAGTGCTTTTTCTCTCTCCTCATTAAATGAGGGAATGATCGTTTCAGATCTGCACACGTTCTTATCACGTAACCATGATGATCAGTTACCTTTTGAGGAAGAGGAACCGCTGAATTTTTTTTTAAAAAAAATTCGAATAAGTTTTCTTAATGGGCTGATTTAAGGACACCAACCCGGAGCTTTATAAATCCTGCTCAAACCTTCATTCCGTCTGTTTTACATCTCTCAATTTTCATCCCTTCCTCTCAAAGATCTCTATAGTCAAGCTTTCTATCATCAATGGCGGCTCCTTCCGAAAAGAACCCAGAGAACCCTGAACCATCATCCACTCCAGTAATACCAAGCTTTCCCACGGAAGACATAGAGTTTATCAAGTCCAGAATTCCATTTATCGTCGGAGGAAGTATGTGGGACGAAGAAGGGTTTCGTAAGTATGTCTTGGATAAAGCCTTTGGAGAACGGATAATCGCTCTTTTGCTAGAAACAGGTTTATTTGGTTTAGTAACTCACCACTATGATGAATGGTACCCTCTTGATGTTACTCAGTTTTATTTGAATGCTTATGTGGCTTCTGATTTCTCAAGCATATCTTCAAGAGTTAATAAACATCACATTGTGTTTACTGCTGAGGATATTCGATCAACTTTTGGGTTTCCCAGACGAGATGAGTCCTACAAATCCAATCTGATATATTATCATCTGGATCCGGAGGACTTCTATGAATCCATACGACACAAGGAGGCACCTTCCAAAGATAAAATCTTCTGGCCCCTCAAGAAAAAATGGTTCCGGTTGGATTATGAGTTTGCAGTAGACATCTTCAACAAGATTGTGGACCACAAGACTTCTGGCACAGATGATGTCACAAGGGAAAAGCTGAAAATGCTGCACGCTTTTCTTCATGAGCATAAGGTTGATTGGTCCAAAATCATTTTCCACAACATCGCTCACACCATCACATACAATCGCAGGAGTCCTGGAGACATTGCAAAGAAGATGGGCTTCGGTTTCATTATAAGCCATCTTCTTGCCACAAAAGGAGTGATTCTACGTGCTGGTGCTCCACCTGGTCAAAAGGTCTGTCACATGAAACAAAAGCCATCTGGATATGACAAACAGAAGGCATTGGAATTGGGCATTCCTCTTGAACCCAATCTACCCAAAGGGAAGTCCAAACGAAAGTTAAAAACCCCTAAAGCAGACGAAGAAGCTCAACCAAAACCAAAACGGCAGAAACAAGAAAAACCCTCTTCTCGGGTTAAGACTCAAAAGACGGTCATCTCCCAATCAAAGACGAAAGGTGATCCTCCTCTCGAAACCTTGATCGTGCAGAACTCCTCTGAAGATGATGATGATCAACCTCTCATTCGTCTAAGCAAACGAAGTCGAATGAGACCTGTTCAAAATCGGGAACCCTTGTCAAAAGGAGCAACATCACAGGGGGAAGATATCCCGAAAGCAGCTACCTCTGAGGGGGAACTGAAAACCTCTCTGCCCGAAAGAAGTCCCGTTGCTCACAAATCCATCAATCCGAATGCATCTCCTGTTCCTCATCCACAAGAACCTACCCTAGCAGAGCAACTCCTACGAGAGTTGACACAAGAACCTGCTACTGTAGAAATGGAGGGAAGATGTCAAAGTCTTCCACAAGAGCCGGGCTCTCCAGAAGACATCCCGAAAGCAGCCTCAAATGCTACAACTGATGCTCAATCTCTTCCACAAGAACCTACTATTGCAGAGCAGGTAATTCTGACACAAGAACCTGCACTAGTAGACGAGATAACAGCTACTCAAACATCTTTTATCCCGAAACCATCTGCTCGTCAATCTTCTCCAGACCGGTACACCCTTGATAAATCTCTCAGAGAATCGATTGAAAGAGATTACAATCGAGTTCTACAATGGCACAAGTGGCGCACGGCACCTCTCAGAACCTTTCTCGAAACTTTTGAAGCCATGATCGACGAAGAGGAATTCGCACTTCAATGGCTTGAAACTCAGGACGTCACAAAGGCTGTGCGAATTGAGGAGATCCACCGAGTATACTCTTATAGAATAACTCATCGATCTCTCGGGAAGGACAAAGCTCCCTTGGTAGTTCCTCTTCATAAACCTCCCATGGATCCAGCAACTGAAGCCGAATTGAAACAACTTCGCTACATCATGCTGCTATCCAAAATTAAAGCCCAAATGGCAGAAGATCATCCTCGAGATCCCAAAGGCAGTGCTAGTGGAACGAAAGATGTTCATGGCAACGAAATCGAAGAAGAGGATGAAGAAGAAAGTGAAGACGAGAGCAATGAAGAAGAAAATGAAAATGATGACAATGATGATGAAACAGAAGACGACAACAGTGGTACTGATGATGATAATGATGATGACAATAATCAACAAGGAGGAGAAGGTGCTGAAGAAGAAGAACCAGAAGATAGCCACACTATCTTGGTCGAAACGGACTATGCTAACTGCCCACAAAGACCACCTCTCTTGAAAATACCATCTGAAGACGAAGACTCGGATGAAGCATCCAGTAAAAATCCAGTTCACTCATCTCGTGCTATCATTCCGCATCTGAACGAATCTATACAACAACATCATAATCTTCCAGTTCATGAGGACAGAAAGGAAGCCTCACCTGAACATGGCCACTCGATGCATGGTGAAAATCCGGAAGCACCACATCATGACGAACACAGGAACTCTTCTCCAACACACATTGAGGACGATTCTATCGCTGAGTCCCCACGGACCATTATGAACCTCATGCGAGAAACTGTTCATTCAGCTGAACTGATTCACAAGCAATATCTCGCCCTAAGGGAGACGGACACGAGAGTATTGAATGACTTGTGTCAAAAAGTCAATCTACTCCTTGATGTACAATCTCAACCACAGCAACTGAATCCTTCTCACGACAAAACTCTTAAGCAATTGGTGAAAAGAGTTTCTGATCTTGAAGAAAGTTCAAACAAAGTCGCTAGGCAGCAACACGAGATTAAGCATTCTCATTACGGCCTCAAGGAACGTGTTGACCTAGCTTGTACCAAGATTGACACTTATCAAGACAATTCCTATCAACTTGGTGAATATGCTCTTCAAATTCTGGGATATGCTCAAGACATCCTGCTTGCAATCAGACAAATCCCCTCTGTACCTCCTTCTGCCTGCGCTGATGATGCCAAAAAGGGGGAAAATAGGGATGATGACAGAGATAAGGATGATGACAACCAACCAAGAAGGTATAACACGAAAGAAAGAT